TCCCAGGGTTTTTAAAAAAATGTTAGCATCAACATTTCAAAAGGAAGTCAATCAATAGCTTGAAAAGTCTATAATAACTTTCAAACTCATATCGGCCCCCTTGAAAGAAGCCAGGAAAGCTTTATTCAAAATGGTGTCCTAAATCTCCAATCATACTCAAGTAAGAGAGTATTGTCAAAGTCTGGAATGCTCTACCTGATTCAGTTGTCTCAGCTACAAATTTTCACAGTTTTAGTCACAAATTGACTTTTGTGGACCGCACTTCATACTTAAGAAGTCCATCCCTGTCATTGTATTTTTATATTATTCCTGTTTTCGTTTCTGTTGACAAATTACAATAAATAAAATAAAATAAATAAATAAAGAAGTGGACATTTGAATCATTTTTAAATAATACAACTCTTCCAGGCTTTACATATGTTTAGACTATTCAAAAAATTACAGACACCATAAAAAGCTATGGAAACAAGAATGTTGGCTATGCTATTGAATGATTTAAGTGTCATTCAATAGCATAGCCAATATTCCTGTTTCCATAGATTTTTATAGTGCCTGCAATTTCCTGAAGAGATAAAGAAGGTATATAAACAGTTTGAACATATGTAAGCCCTGGAAGAATTGTATTATTTAGAAAATGATTAATTTCTTCCTCAGTAACTTCTGATTCAATATTTTCAAGTCAAATATAAAAAAAATAAAAACATTAGTACATAAGATAATTATTATTATCTTGCCCTGAGCAACGTTATAATAACAATAGTAATAATATTACTTTGTTGTTTTAACCAAGAATTTCCTGCCCCCCCCCATTCCAATGCTTTTGTTTAATACAAAGTTTGTGCATAAATCTATCCAATCTAGCAGGTACTTTTTCATTTATTAAATGAATTACTATAAAAATACACAATATATAATTACAATTGTATAGAACATGCAATTTAGCAGTCACGTTTATTTAATTCCTAAGTCATTTTGATATATTTAAAATAGATTGGTGTCTACCTGAGGAGCCCAAAGTGGTTTAGAATCCTTTGGGACTGAGTGCTACCTTAGGGATTTGCATGCAAAAGAAACCAAGTAGGCTGGAAAATATTTCCATCTGAAACCTGAGAAGCTAAACTAAACAGAATAATATAACTCAGTGTAGGCATTTCTCATGTTGTTTAAATGATCATCATTCATACTATCCACTGTAGCCATAAGAAATGGAGACTGTAACTCTTAAAATCTCCAACCAGTAGCTTGCTGGCTATGAATTTGGAAATATAAATCCATCATTTCTGGTGGGCATCTGATTAGATGTTGGATGTCTACTACTCCTAGTACTCTCCCACTTACTCTGAGTTTTATATATTTTAAAAATCCCAGACCTAAAGAAAAATAAAGCCAAATAGTTGGATATGCCAGTACCACTATTTTGCGAAGTGAGACACACTAGGCCTGAGCAATTATTTGTTTTGTTGACTGATTTCATAAAATAAAAATAGTCCTGCTCATGTATCAATGATGCTTTCCTCCAAATAAAGTCCAAATTGTGAACGGAATTGACCCAATTCCTATATTTTAATTAATTCAGATGTTCAAACTGATGGCATGGTTCATAAGGGAAAGAGTAAGTAGCGTGTAAATGTTAGAAAAACAAATAAATGATTTCTTCGATTAATTGAATTACATCCAATTCACAAAGTCAAATCTAAAGGGAGTGGAGGTTTGTTCAGGTAATAAACCTTAGTTTTATAATAGGCATGTTAGATGTATGCAGGATAATCCTTATTTTAAGCTATGAAATCTTGGTGATATATGACTGTGACTTTAGCCTCTGGCTGTAGCAGAGATAAAATTCAAATGCACTTAAAACAAAGTCAGTCTTTCCTGCACAGACTAGTTCTGATTCAGTCACCAAGTTAAAGACATCTATTTTTGGGCCAAGTGTCCATCAATGTCACTTTAATATCCCATGGAGTGATTTCACATGAAATTATGTGAAGACTAAGCTCTGTAAAATCTCATTTTCCAACTAGGGATACTAAATGGTTGGATAATGTATTCTGAATATATTATAATTATTTTTCAAAGCAATGCAGCTAGGTATGCTTTTGCTGCCCCCATTCTGAACATCAAAACCAGAGTCTAAATTAGTTAGAGTCACGAATGTAGACTTTTTCTTTTCTTTTTGGTGCTCATTTAAATAATAGCCATATGTTCACTTTCATATTATGGATAGATTTGCTTTATAGGCTGCCAGCAATCTCCCATTAAAAGGATTAATCAAATCCATGTTGCCTAGTCCTGTAAAGAGATATAATGCCACAAGTACAACCATAAGCATCTGTTCCTAATCACAATGACAAAATGTATGTCATAATAATGCAAGCGCTACCTTTTTCTACCTGAATCACCCATAAATACAAGTATAAGGGACAGAGTTTTTAACACAACATTATGTCACTTGCTTCCACTGGCCCAGTAGTCAAGTAATTTTTTTCAGTGCTTAGGAAGTGTTTAAATTTTAGGCTGCTTAATTACTTATTTTCTATATTTATTTTTAAATTAAAAAATGATGAGATAACAGCCATCTTTTTGGAGAACCAGTTTGATATAGTGGTTAAGGCCAAAACTAGGAACTGAGTTCTAGTCCTGTTTTAGACATGAAAGGCAGCTGGGTGACCTTGAGCCAGTCACTGTCTTCTCAGCCCAACCCACCTCACAAGATTGTTTTTTTGGAGAAAATAGGACGAGGAAAGAATATTCTGTATGTTTGCTATCTTGAATTATTTATTAAAATAATAAAGGTGGGATAAAAGCTATTTAAAAATAAATAACTAATCTTTTTCAAGAGCCAGGTCTAGAAGTATACATTAGACGGAATGAATTTTGAATCAGACTGGGTGTAGAGTACTTCTCTAGCTTTCCAGAGTGAAAGATTTCCTCTAAAAGGATCAGAAGTCAGTATTATGAGTCACCTTGAAGCAAGATGGGTGGCACACAAACCTAATAAATAAATAAATAAAAATTATCCACACATTAAAAACAGTTTTGAGTATTTGCAGTAATAATCAAGTGGACGGATACCCGAGTACCATCAACAATCCTGAATCCTGCTTTTGATCTGGCTCAGGTTCAACTAGCATTTCTGAACTGCTTTGAAGTCAAATTGTTATCTGAACCATCAAATCAGGTTCAAAATCAGATTTGGAGCATAATGAACTCTCTTGGGAGATACATATTTTAACATAAAACATTATTATTATAATCAGAAGAGCTCTTCTGATCCACATTAAATCCTAAATCAGATCCAATCCAACAATTTACTTCTGAAAGTAACCAAACATACAGTAATAAGACCAACACAGCCATAATAGCTCCCTTCGACATCTAAAATAATAATTGTTAGGCAAATATCAGCATCAACATCTCCACCAGGAGGTCTACATGTTGAATAGGGCTGTTGACAGAAGAAATTCCCTAACAGCTAATGTTGATACTCACAAGGTTAATATATGACAATTCAGTCTTACTACATTTTTAACTGAAGTCAAAATGCTAATAATGTATCCTTGTTTTATTTATATATGAATATTTCTTTTCCATGTCTTATATCTTTATATAATTAACTCATGTGATCAAATTAAGAAAGTAACAGATCCATAGAGAGTAAGATTGGCTGCTGAATCCATGAATGCAGTTTATGTATTAGTTCTCTATTAATACTATGTGGCCCTTTCTCCCTTCCTTCTTTCCTTCCTTCCTTCCTTCCTTCCTTCCTTCCTTCCTTCCTTCCTTCCTTCCTTCCTTCCTTCCTTCCTCCCCCTTCTCTCAAATATTCAGTTTGAATTCAATAATGTGTTAATTACTGAATATACCACAAAGGCTGTGATCAGATGGTGGGTGGGTGGCTATGCTTGTTTCCAAAATGTCAAGAGCCAATTTACAACAGGATCTTATGAGCTAATATGTGGGTACTGCAAGTTAGAAAGACTGAACTAGTACCAATTCTGACACTAGTATCAGCAACCACTGAGCTATGGATCATCTTCAATGCCCTGAAGAAATCTGGAGTTGGTGGTACCTAAGTTTGAGATTCACTCAAAACAATATTGTCCATTTATAATGCTTTGTACAATTTAACTTAACACCCCCACCTGTGTTTATTTGCAGTGAAATTACAGTTGGAAAGCTTATTCATATAACAAAATACTCAGTGCTATGTCAAACTACAATTATAATACTTCAGATTTGAAGTACAGAGTGGGTCTGAAACCCAAAGAGAAAAAAATGAAGAAAGAAAACCCCTTTTTAATTGAAAAAAAATGTTATTTTGTTGCATTCTTTATTTCAGCCTTGTGCTGCATATGATTTACGGAAAATTATATTCTTGCTACAAAAGAAAGCATCAGATTGAAGCCAATTTCAGCATTTGGTTGGGACTAGTTCCACTAGCACTTTAATAGTGGAATCCTACATGTGTCTACTTTTTAAAAAAGTTTCATTCAGTTCAAATGAATTTATTTTCAAGCTAAATGTGTATAATAGTTTAAACTAAAATAATATTCAACCATAATCTGTTACAGCAAAGCAGTTCTACTTTTCATTGGTACAAATAATTTTCACTGATTTTCCTCCCAATTATCAAAGCCCTTGAGGACATGTCCCATTTTTTCCCCAAAGTAAATCTCTAAATCTTCAAAGGAAGTTTATTGCAGGAATAGTGAGCATAAGGGGAAGAAGGAGAGAAAGGCCTGATAAAATTTAGCACCCAATTTAAATGACAAGCATGAGCTTTCTGATAAGACCAAATGCTACTTTTCCTTCTGAATATTACAACAAAATGGGTCTGATAAGAAGCAACCTGCATTAATCAAGTAAATTAAATAATTGATAGCTAGTCTTGTGATTGATTTCTTGTCTGAAATGGAGGGATTTCAATTCAATACTCTTCAAGCCTGAAGTGAGTATCTCTGCATTTAGCAGAATGCTGTAATAACATAGTAGCCAACAAATCAATGTTCTATCACTTTATTGGATTTTGTTTATTCTGTAAGTAGCTCAGTACAATGCTAGAAACTCTGTGGAAGCAGTTCAGTTCTATTGCCACCAAAATGTTACAAGACGGTATTTGGCATGCCTTAACAAAAACCGCATGCAATCAACACAGACTTTTAATACAAAAATGGACAATCTTTTTATTCAAGAAGTATGCAGTTAAGTGTTGTTTTATTCCTTAAATTACTAGAAGCTTTATTCCACAACAGAACCTGAGAAGCTTAAATATCAAGTAACACTGTCTCTTTAGGCAAATCAAATGACACTGTTATCACTAATAAATCTTGAATTACTCAACAATATTACAGAATATTACAGAAAAGTAGAAAAATAAAACATTTTCACATTTGCACTTGAAAACACACTATAAAATCCAAACCTGTAAAACATTTAGCACATAAATTACACCTTTGTGTTTCCCTTCATATTAAATTGAAACATTTGTGGCTTGTCTTCGCTTGGACTGCTAAATTGTGCCCCTTTTCTTATGAAAGATTTTGTATTTGAAAGGTCCAAAGCAGATACAAATTTTTGCTCTATTGCTACGTAAATAAATACCCCATGACAATTTAATTTCCAGCTTCCAATCTGTACAGTGAATGTGAAGCTTGTCAAGTTATGTGAATGTTTGAGATTTATTTTGCTACAGCCCTCTATTTGTCCACAAGGCACAAATATTTTCTTTTTATTTAAAAAAGCCTAGATTCCAAGATGTTTGAAAAGAGCAATTTAATTCAGAGATGGAAAATTGCTTTATTATAAAACTTCATTTACAGCAATAATAGGGCATGGATGAAATCTGTAATTAGCTGCTTATTTTGTAAATTGTTAAAAATTGTTTTTGGAGCAGTGGGAATTTTTTTATGACTTCTCCATATTTGTCCTTCCCAACAAGCATCTGAACTAGGAAAAGAGGGGAAAGTGTACAGGTAGTTCTCAACTAAGACCACAATTGAGCCCAAAATTTATGTTGCTAAGTGAAACATTTGTTAAGTGAGCTTTGCCCCATTGTATGACTTTCCTTGTCACTGTTATTAAGTGAATTGTTGCAATTGTTAAGTTAGTAACCTGGTTGTTAAGTGAATCTGGCTTCCCCATTGACTTTGCTTATCAGAAGTTCGCAAAAGCTGATCGCATGACCTCAAAACACTTCAACCACCTTAAATATGAACCAGTTGCCAAGCACATGGCCAATGTGACTATGGGGATGCTGCAACGGTTGTGTTTGGTCATAAGTCACTTTTTTTTAGTACCATTGTTACTTGGAACTGTTGTAAGTTGAGGACTATCTGTACAATTTATCTCCCCCTGAACATTTATGGATTTCAACTTGTCTTTAAAATTTGACACAATTCAACATTTGTGCCAATCACTACAAAGAAATAATAATAATTCCCCTGTTTTTTTTATTTTAATCTTTTTCTCTCTGGAATCCCCATTTCATTTCATTCTTTCGTTTCCATAATCTCTCAGTTAGCATGGTCAAATTATTTGCTGAAGAACTTTACACCTGCTGTTACAAATAAGGCAAAAGCTATTTTTGTTAAGTAAAAGCACTTCCTTTCATCTGTTTCCAAAATTTATCAGAGAGATCCAACCGTAATAGAGGGATGCAAAAGAATAAAAAAAGGATGGGGAGGGGGGAAGCAGCAAAAACACAACATATCTAGCACAAAACATCAACCTTAATGGGGAAAGAATAAACCCATCTCCAACATGCTAAACCTGGTGAAAATTCATAATAATTCCTCTACCTACTCTTCTGGAACTAAGTTATATCTCGTATAAGCATACATATGAAATTGTTTTCCCTAGTAATCCTTGCCTTTAAATCAAATTCCTCTTATAATAAATGGCATGTGAACAACTTAAGAACAATAAGATTAAAGAGATTTCCCATTGAACCATATCACTGATAATGATAAACGCCAAATCATAGGGAAGAGACAGTGTTCCGTTACAACTTCAATACATTTTAGATGGCCCTCAGATCTAAAGAAATAGAAGACTCCTTTCCAAAAGCCATAGGATAGGATGGAGCATTTTAATAAAGATGGGGAAATGTAGTGTGTGTTTATCTAATAATGTGCATCATGCCATGAAAGCTAGTTTAAAACAAAGCTGTAGTAACACATTATAAAAATAAGGCTACCATATCTGAATTGTAAAAAACGGGATTGACTGCTAGATGACAGCAAATAGCTATAGTTTCTGTATCTCTGTTGCAATCTTGGAGCCCAAATAACTTTTTGCACCAAGAACTGGTAGCCCTAATGAAAATAGAAGGCTGCAAATTCCAAAAATGCCTTACTTCATGTATACACATGTATATTTATACATTAAGGGACAGGAAATCCAATGCCTTTTATATGTTCCTATAAATTTTAAGAAATGTTCTTAATTATAACTCTCAAAAGATTCCTGGCCTTGAGCCATAACTGGGTAGAGCTAATACTAGTTGCAATCTTTGATAATACAAAATTGACTATTTTGTTTCTTGATCTATAAGCATCTTTAAAAATGGGAAGAAGAACAAAAAAAGTAAAAATTTCAAATTTAAAGCAATGATATCTAAAATGGAAAAAATGAATGTGGTATAGGTGGGAGGCTTGACAAATTGTTAGATACTTTCACACTAAAATATGCTTTTTGTTTTCTTAACATCTAACATCTACTTTCTATTCTGAAAGTAGAACTGAACCCAAATCATAACATTTGCCTGGTTTGATCATTAAAGAAAGTGAACTTAATTTTTACATTCTGCACTTATTTCATGTCCAGTTAACTCAGGTGAGATGACACAGTTCTCTTCAATGAGTTGCCTTAAAACTCATCTAGTATTTCAGAAGCTGACTAGAAAAGCTGCTAGAACATTCCATTCATGTGCTCCCGATACACAAGTCTTTTCTGGTATCAGCACATCTGGAAAGACCATAATGGAAATCAATTCAGCTGCTTATTTCAATGTTAGAAGGGAGGGGCCTGCATTATTTGTTAAAGCAGGATTTGAAGAATATTTCACATAAGAATTCGTTGAAATAAAGTACCATTTTGAAATTTTGTCACAACCCTTATTGCTCATACCATTAGAACCACAAAGGGAAACCAGGATTGTGGCCATTGGTTTAATGCTTAGCAACTAACTGGTTAAATTAATGATTTCTTTTAACACCTAATTTATGGCCATAACAAATACACAAAGCCATGTCATTGGAAACATTGACAAGTGTACAATTAGACTGTCCCTTCACTTCTGGTGAACAAATAAGAAGTGATGTGTTTATAGCCATTAGTTCTCCAAAGAGTTCCACAAATGGAACTCAAATACCACAAATGGTTCCACAAATACCATCAGCCAAGATTCTTCCATAAGGAAGTCTTCTTCATAAATTTTGTTATTGTTTTTGTATTTCAGGAAACCATCTTGAGCATGGAAATCAATGATGGAGCCAGCAAGAGAACTGAGTGTAACATATATAACCACCATCCTCAATTGCCACATATGCTCACTCTATTGCCACATAGGCTTTTAAATAAGCAAAAATCTGCAGTATCCCTCTTTTTTCTATATGACTACACAGAGATGCATACACGTTGTAAACATGCCTTTTCTCTATTATATTTACTGAAAAGTATAATTTAATGATAAGTTATGTGAAGACCATTCTCATCACCTGATTACCTGTTTCTAGAAGCAATATAGCAGTATTGATAATAGTATTAAGCAAGCATGACCCTAGAGAATCAATAAGTTATGGATCAAACATGGAAATGCCATGCAGATAGCATTAAAATGGACAAAGATCAGTGGGGATCTTAGCTTTGTTCTAGAAGAAACCTGTTACATTTAGCTTTGAAGGTGAATATAAACTGGCAACAAAATCTAAAATGATAACACAGAGAATTTTTGTCCTGTTCTCTGTCGTGCAACAAGGAGAAGAAGGAGGAGGAGAAGGAGAAGAAGAAGGTTTGAAGAAGTCTGGCTTGATAATACAATCAACTGCAGCTGCTTTAAAAGCTACTTAAGCTTTGATGAGGAATTTAGATGCTTTTAAGTAGCAGCAGCATTTTCCAGGTTTATGTGGAAACCTAAAGAAATGCTGGACTTCTTCATTGAATGAATGGAGAAGAGCTCTACTTATATAATGCCTGAAGTACTTTATCCAAACCATTTTTTTAAGCAGGTACAACTTTAATGAATAGCCATCTGTCACAGATACCATAATCTGGATTCTGCACTGAGCGTTAATAATTGCTTTCAGGAATCTAAACAGCCTGTTCTACTTCTATAATTCAGTACTACATCCATACAGGGATTTGCTAATCCCACAAAATTGTTTGAAGTAAGGATCCTACTTAGCATTGCCATGTTTTACTTTGTAATCTTGGAATCACATTCTTTCCAAAGATGGATCAAGATCTGGCCCTGTAAAAAAAAAAACAAAAAACCATCAAGCAGGTCTTGAGTATTCAATTAACAGCTAAGGCAAAAGGTATGTCCTCATTCTTTTCCTATTTTTAACTGCATTCAATGAGAAACTTTCTGAAATTAGGTCAGATTTTAGAAGCCAATTTAATTTGGCAGAGGTGAGCAGTGATCTTAAAACATGAGCAAAAAGCATTCTCTCCAATTATACCAATCTTCTTGGAGGAATGAATTATGTCATCTTCTTAATGAATCTTAAATCTATTAAATAAACTTAATTTATATTTTCCTGAAATCCCCATATGACAAAAATGCCAGCAGGCTACATCTGAACTCTAGGTGGTGATTCTTGATTCGTACCAACACCACCCAGAAATTAGGAAATGTCCTATTATATTAAGATAATCTGCTTGACTCCTTTTTTGTTATTTTTTGACAGTTTTTAAGAGGTTCAGTCCTGTCACTCAAAATGTAACTACTTTTTTCCCCTTAATGTTGGGTTGTAATGATTCTTTCGTATATAAACAATCTTTCTGGCTCATATAAGACCTAATCCAAAAGATGGTTGAAATCTACCTCCAAAAGAGAATCATCATTGCCACATTGAGTTTTAATGAACAAATGAAAACAAAGGAATTCTGAACAATCTTGCTGAAGAATTCCAAACATTTTGCCAGAACTTAGCAAGTTACAATAGACTTGGGAAACTTTTAACTTCCTGAATGTTCATCTATTAAATAGCCAGACTAAGAAAAAAATGGAATATAATATGTGAAAGTTAAAATGCACTTGTAAAGAGCAAATAAATTCAAAGATTTTAGAAAAGCCCATTCTATAATTCTGTTCTTAATTCAATTGCTATGTTCAGCAAGGCATGTCTCAGTTAAAAAATACCACAGTTCTCAATGCCACAGGGATGGCAGAAGATATTTCACTTCCTGCTGATACTCAAAAGAGGCTTTAATATAACTGGTTAATCACAAAAAGACATTTAAAAATGTCATTTATTTATTCCAAATGTATTGACTTTTCAATTCATTTGAATTGGCTTGTTAAGAAATAGTTTGACTTGCATATGCAACAATGTATGAATTGTGGCCTTAAGCAACTGCATTTTATATAGTTCAATCTTTATAGAATAGATTTAAAATTGTTTTTAAGTGGAATTTTGATTCAGATGTAAGTTTCATTGGGGTTTACTTTCAAGTAATAAATCACAGGATTATACCCTAAAATTACATGCCGTTATATAGAAATTAACTTTCTTCCGATCTGATGCTTTCAGGTGTAGTGGCCTCTATTTCCCACTCAACCCATCTTCCTTGAACAAGATAGCCAATAGCCATGTTGCCTTGGCTTGATGGAGAAACTTATTTTAGCACTAAGTTGGAGAAAAATGCCTTAGCTCATAAATACCCAATTCAGTTTTTAATGGAGAAACAAGAAGCATTCTGAAATCCATAACACAACATATTTCTTTCTCCTGTTAATATGTAAAATAAATAGATTTTGCAGATTCTGTAGAATTTCATTTATCTTTGAGATGTTTTGAAGCTTTGCCAAGAGACTTTTAGAGCAATTCTTGCTCATATGCAAACTACTGAGTATGAATAAGCAAGATGAAAATAGATTCTTTATAATTCTTTGTAAATTATGGATTTCTGTCAGGACTTGCTAAAACCATTTACAGGATTATACAGCTTGTTCATTTGGTACACAAAAAAATTATAAATAAACCAATTTAAAGCATTGGTTCCTAGAGCAAATGTTTTTCAGATATATTTTAGAATATTAATATATGTAAATATAGCTGGTTAAAATTGTTTGTTTTTCAAGTTCCCATTTTAAGGATGTGCTTGTTAAATGTAAATGCAACATAATATGTTGCTCTTGACCTAGTTTATATGGCTTTTCCTTTATATTCTTCTTTTCCACAATTATACTCTGCCCTATCTGATATATACATGACACCTTGGTAAGAATGAATCTTTTCTTGAAGAGGATAAAAATTAATTAAATGCTGTATTTATAACAGCAAACATCTGGACAACCACTAGATTGTAGCAAAGAAATTGTTTTATGGGTCTATTTTTTGTTATCTCGTGCATGTCCAGAGCTTTGCAGTCCAAGTCTGGTAACCCAGTTTTATAAATCTTAATTGAGCACATCGCAAAAATGTAAGAAAACAACAAGCAGGCTGAAAAGATGAACAAGTTAAAAAGCAGCAGCCAACATAATGGAATGAAAACTAACTGCAGATATATATGGGTTGAAAACTATGTGGACTGAAAGGTTACATTAAAAAAAAAAAACTATGTAAACACAAAGATCTTCACCTATCAACTTGAAACTAATGAAAAAGATAGTCAGTGGAACTCCCACAATAATGATTTCCAGTAATTAGATACTACCACTAAAATGGATCCGTCAAAGTGTGCATTAGATATTGACAGCTCATATAGAGATTAACATCCTATTTATTTTAAAATCCATGTTGTTAAATGGTTAAAAAATTGAACATAAACAAATTCAAGCATGTCCTTAAGCATTTAAAACCCACATAAATTGGAAATGAAGGGCTGATTAAGAACTAATTCAAACACATTCACATATGACGATATGGAAGAACCCTATTCAAGCATTTAACCCAGTGTTTTCAACCTCAGCAACAGAGATGTGTGGACCTCAACTCCCAGAATTCTTCAGCTGACACGCTGCCTTGTTGCCCTATCACTTTTCATGCATTGGTTGGAAAAGCGTGAAAATCCTCTTTATAGATCTAAATCAGATGGGGCAGAGCCATGTACGCAGCCTACCTGAACTGGTTTTCCCATTTTCAAATAAACAAACCTTTTCTCCCACTCACTGCATTAATTCCTAAATTCCTCAAATGTGAAACCTTGTATAAATTTAAATGATGTGCATGTTGTTGTTTTTTTCCAGTAATCAAAAGCAATGGCAGTTTTTGCTTGTTCTGGGGAGAGGGGAAAAAAAACCTAAAGCATATACTAGAGAAGTAAACAATTTGCCTGAAAAACAGCTGTTGTCATGCAAAGTGCTTTAGATTAACAAGAGCAAATTAAACCTAAAAATAAATCAAATGCCTGTCTTTATCCTGTCAAAAATATAGCCTGTTAGATAAGCTTCATTATTTTATCCAGTGAAAAACTGAGACCAACTCCAAAATTAGGCAATGATCTAAATTGCCGAATAGGAATTGCGTCTCTTAAGTGGAGGAGATATGCTATATTTGCTACGGTGAGAGATTTTTAAAGGCTTTGAGGACATGTCTTCTGAAAATAACACACACAGTGGGCTAAACAACAGAAAAGTAGTTATGTCCAATTTTTGTGTTGCTAACAGGATTTATATTCATATGAACATTTCCACCAGCAAATCAATATCAAGGCGTGTGGGAAAGGCGTATCAAGAGCTCAACCGGATTGCCCCAGTCCTAGCCATATCAGTATTATTATTGGTATTATCAACCAAAAGCAAAGAATTTAGATTTCATTTTATATAGCAGTGATGGCTAACCTTTTCGGCACTGAGTGCCGAAACTGGAGCGCGCATGTACATGGACGCAGGAGCACCGAAACCCGAAAAGAGCAGCTGTCCGGTACGCATGCACGCAGTGGCCAGCTGCTCTTCCAGGTTCAGTTATGCACATGCACACTGGCCAGCTGCTCTTTTCTGGGTTCTATCGCACACATGGGTGCCAGCCAGCTGATCTTTGCATGAAGAACCTGGAAGAGCAGCTGGCGACCACATGTGTGCCCACAGAGAGGGCTCTGCGTGCTACCTCTGGCATGTGTGCCATTGGTTTGCCATCATAGCTATATAGGCAGAACTGTCAACTCACTGTCAACTGTCAACCCAGCATATGCTAAATCCTGAACCCTGTATGTGATTAGTGGGTAAGTGAATGATACTCTATTATCGTATATTATATACTATTTACATTCACATCAACCTGTGCTATTATGGAGGCTTCCAGATGTATTAGGTAACCATTCTTGGGGTAGCTGCCTAAAGACACCAGATTGGGAATGACTATTTGATAGGACCATGCAATGATTCAGGTTCAGTTCCATAAAGGTGTTTTGAGTGTGCAGAACCCAACCGTAGCTCCAAATTGCAAGTCTTAAAAGTAGTCAGCTCATTTGTGGGAGCTTGTTTTGAAATACCTTCTTGGAATCAAATCCAAAGTGCTATAAAGTTCTACTTTCTACATTGATCTAGACTTGGGAGGGAACATTATCTGCTTTGATAGGTCAGCTAGAACAAATCACAAAATAAATGATAATGGATTCTCAGTAAGAATCCAAAATGATAAAGTGCACAGAAATTTAATTCTCTATCCAAAATTGCTACAATAAAGGACCTTACAAGCACACTGGGAAAGTACCCCAAATCAATATAAAAAGTAATAAATTCAAACTGGCTAATATGCATTGAGTTAATTATGAAACCAAAATCAACTATAATAAAATAAAGAAGTAAGAACAGACTTATTTCTTATTGATTAACTGAGCAAAGTATGGCCAACTGCTTGGCATTCCTGGAAGGGCTTTTGTTCTTTTAAATGAATGTAATGAGCTATAATATTCTTGAGGATTTTGCATTAGCCCATAATGGGGCTGGCAGTCATAGATCATCCTTCTCTTCCTATAACCACAGCAATGAACAAGGAAGAGATTTGGAGATAGAAGAGTAGAGTTGGATCTTACACAACTATTTGATTTCTCAGGTTTTTTAAGTCAAGGATGTGGTTGTATATAGGGAAAGAGGCTCCTAATCCCTTCTCTCTTCAAATTGTACATGCCACCATGGTATCCATTAAATTAATATTTTAGACACTTTTCTCATTTTTTCCTTTAAAAGTATTTAAAATTCACTTAGTTTCCTCAAAGTCTTTTAGGCAACTAGAAGATAGTTTAACACACATACACACACACAAACATATGCACACATGTTCTTCACTGGTTATGGTTTGGGCTTTTTTTAATGCACAAAATCAGTATTGTAAGAATTAAAAGTTAGGATGGCAAAGGATAGAGAGTGTTTGCGAAGAAGAAAAAAGCAGGGAAAGGAAGAGGCAAGGAACCATTCATAAGCTTGTGTCTCCGTTTTGTTTGCACTCAGATAAAATACTCAGAGTCATATCCTCACTTTTGGATTGCACATTGAGCTCACTCCTTCTTGAGGCTTTCCGAGTTGCCCTGGAGAGCTTTCTCCGAAAAGTGTCTCCAGCCAAAAAATATAAAATAGGATCCACGCAGCTGTTGAGACTCGCTAACCCTCGAGTTACTTGGTAGGTAGCATAAACCCTGTTGTTAAACGCACACATTTCCGGAGTCTGAAAATCCAGCCGGGCGCGTAGATTCAAGTTTTTCATCACGTGGAAAGGAAGATAAGACACAGCAAATACTGCCAACACTATAATAACCAAGTAAATTGATTTCCTCCTAAGCGGGGAATTGTCTAAATCTTTGTAAATCAGTGCTTTCACGATTAATCCATAGCAACCGAGGATCAGAATAAACGGGATGCAAAACAAGAAGACAGTGGTGCACATGCTGTAAATAAAGTAGCTACGCAGGTAATTGTCTACTGTTGTGTCATAGCACGCCATGGTTTTGACTTTCCTTACTTCAGTCCCAGAGAAAAAGAAGATGGGAGAGATTCCTACCACCACGATAAACCAGACCAGGGCGCTGATGTAAACAGCATTCTTTTTTTTCAGTCTCCCCAGTGATTTCAAAGGATGCACCACACCAGTGTATCTGTGCACACTGATGCATGTGAGGAATAAGATGCTTCCATACAGATTGACATGAAAGATAAATCTCTGCAGCTTGCACATGAAGTCTCCAAAGATCCAGTCCGTTTGATTGAAGTAGTAGAATATTAGGGCAGGGAGGGTCAGGACGTACAAGAAGTCTGCTAGGGCCAAGTTGAACATGTAAACTGAGATGCCACTCCATGGCCTCATGTGGAAGACAAACATCCAGATGGCCACGCTGTTGCCTAGGAATCCAGTGATGAAGACTACGATGTAGACTGCTGGCAAGTAATAGAACTGAAAACCGGTTTTGGTCAAGGAACACTTGTTAGTGGCATTGCTGGTCACATTGTTAGCCAGTGCGTGGGTTTCAGTCAAATTCAGGACAACCGAAATGAGGGCTTCAGTCATGGTGACACCAATGAATTCACATCAGTGGCTTTCAAGATCTAGAATCAGCAAGTGTCCCTAGAGAAAAGAAAGAAAGTATCTAAGCTATGTCAATAAAAGAAACAATGCAGCAAAACAGGCAGGAGAAAAACCATATTCAATTTTCAGCAGATCTAGAAGCAGTGTATTTATTTATATCCTGCTACAATCTGGTGACTTTTGATAGCTCGCTTGATAGAAGAAAAATATTAAAACATTCACAGTATATTTAAACTTAGAAGTTAAATAACTAAATAATAATAAAAATCGTGAGTTGTTTAATTGACAGGGCCATAAGTACTACATTTGCTTTTTTGGCAGGCATATGTTCCTGCAGACCAGTTGAGATGCTTTAATTTACTGCCCATATTTGAATGTCAATATTATATTCTTTCTAGAATATGATAGCTTCAGCTTGTGAGTTATTTGCCCATATGCCCTACCACGTGCCACAAAATGTAACACAAGGAACTAGTCCTAACAGACTGTTAAACTCAGTCAAGTATCGGTTTTTGCTAAAGCATCTTATGGGCATTACCAAATGAGGCTGTTATTCATACAATCACCCTGACTCATCCATGGAATTTTGCAGACCTCAATCTCCATTTGTAACAATCTTCTTCTCTTCCCCCTACCACTGATACCTTCTCTTAAGAGGGGAGAAAATCTATTTAAGGAGAAAAAAGCAGAAGACCTCTCCAATACTTTTTTGACTGGTATTTATAGCGTAAAAAAACCTGTCCATCTGGAAAAAAAAACCCTGCATTTTATATGCTGGAATTTCATATACCAGGAAGGAAGATGGAAAGTAATGAACTTACTGAAAAATTTCAGCCACTGAGAGATCCTATGGTGTAAAAGATCATAATCTTTTTTATTATTATTATTGGCCAAAAAATTCTATTCTATTCTATTCTATTCTATTCTATTCTATTCTATTCTATCTCTACTCTACTCTACTCTATTCTATTCTATTCTAATAGATCTTGACTTCTTCATCAAGACCACCCCACCCCCACCCCTTGCACCATTCTTTAAATCTAGCTGGTCGCTAGCAAGCTGCCAAAACATAGTGCTTAGCAAAGGCCAAAGACTGGTGGAATGGATATAGGTCAGGAAGAGAATATATATCAATAGTTTTTAAAAAGTGTAAACTTGGCATTACTGAAATAGTGTAACCATTTCCCTTGACATTTACTGAGCAGAATTGCCATATGGTTATTGGCAATTCTTCTCCTTCTTCTCCTTCTCCTTCTTCTTTTCTCTCTCTCTCTCTCTCTCTCCCTCCCTCCTTCCCTCTCTCCCTCTCTCTCTCCATACATTTCCCCCATTCTAAATATGTATTGTTTAATGAAGTAACCTAGGAGATTCTTTCTCTATACAGATAAATCATGGACGAGTTTTCAATCCCTACTCTTTCAAAGAAAAATGAAGGGAATGTACAATACAGATATTAAGGTCTTTAAATAATATCCAAATAAACTTCTGTATTTGTTCAGATACCCATCCTAAACGTATTTTCATTATATTTTCCTTCTTAACAACATCAGAAGAACCTCCTTTAATATATGACATAGCGGCAATCTCTCGGTGTTCTACTTTTTCTCTGCAAATGGCATTCTGTACCTGAAAATAGCCCAGAACCATTCTAATAAGAGGCTGTTGACAAACACAGTTGCCACAATCTGGTCTAATTCATTTTCAGAGCCATGGATGATAGAAATCACAGCTACAGGTTGCCTCCCCGCAATCTCTAAATTAAATGTGAGCTAGAACTATCCTAAGTAAATATTTCAGTTCAATAATTTTGGCTACTGAAGACAGAGGGAAGGAGGAATAAGAAATGGTTATTCAGGCAGCATATGAATGGCTTTTTTTGTGTGTCTTCCAGAAAAGTAGTTTGATTTCTTAAATTTGAGTTTAACATATCATAAATGACTGAAAATAGTGGGAAAGTTTCTGAAAATTATATGGATGGTGGCAGAAAAGGGGAGAGAATCCAGATACCCCCTTCCCCCCCCCAAGAAAATAATTATTGGTATTCCATGAGAAGGATTACGCAGTCTAAAAAGCTGGAGCAGGTGGACAAGAAAACTGCAGGGAGCAAAGGTAAAGGTTAAACTGCATAGAAATGAAGGGAGAATCAGACAAGAAGATAGCTGTAGCAAGACAAATGAAATGAAGAAAACTTAGCTGTGGATCCCTTAGACACCTATGGCTATGTCGCCGGTGCTGGCACTCCAGCTCCTCCAAAACTATGAAACCATAGCTTTATCCATACACATAATGAACTATCAAGTGTCCCTAACAAATCACAATGCCTGTGCTCACAAAACATGCCAAGACATAATGGTATGTGTTGGGCTATCATTTTCAATCATGATTTGTGGGGGTTAGCAGGCTGTGGCTATCAATCTCGTTGGGGTTAGGTAGGAGATCTGTACCTAGTTTAAAGGCAGCAAAAAGTAACACCTAAAGGTGGTTTAACTTTTCTTGCTTCTATGCCCATAACACACACACACACACACACACACACACACACCATACAAACACAGACACACAGAGCCTTCACCCCTGCACGGCAGCTCCTCCCTCCGCCCTAAATGCACACAACACGGAAGTCTCCAGTCAACAAAATGGGTTCATCTCCAGACAAAAAGCTCAGCCCCGGATTGCAAAGTCAACCACGAGGATCCCCCCGCATAGCTCCGGGGCATGTACAGAACGCGCCTTCTGCCTAAGTCTCTTTCTTCCCGCCGTCTTTTTTTTTTTTTTTTCCCTAGCCTCGGTTTTGGCTGAGGTCTCGTTTCGGCAAATCCACTCCGTCCCTTCTAATCGACATTTTTTTACTTCCGAGTTATGAATTCAGCACAGGAGTGTCAGCCAAAAAAAAAAACACCCCAAAAAAACCATCGCTTTGGCCACCGTTAGCTCCATGCCCTGTTTTTTCAACCGGTATTACGGGAAGAGTTGGGGGGGGGGCTAACCCCCTTCTGAATGAAACACGCGCGCTGGGAGGGGAAAAAAAAACACGAGGATGCCCTCACGGACAGAGCTGGGCGCCTAGCATGGCTCGCATCTCAGTTACTTTGTCAGACAAACTCTCCGAGGCTCACATACACACACACACACACACACAAAACCGACAGGCGCCGCGGCAGAGAAAACCAAGCCGTAGATCTCTTGGCTCGGGCAAATTCTTCAGGCGGCGTTTTCAAGCGCTTGCAAAGAAGGCACTTTGGGAAAGAGATGCTCCCGCCGTTCCTCCCCCCCCCCCCTTTTTTTTTTTTTTGCCTCAGAATCGGAAACTTTCCTCCGCGGTTAAAGAGGACTTACCTTCTGGAACGCCTCAACACGCTCGACCAGAGCGGGCAACGCGGTGTCTTGCCGCCGCTCTTAACGCGGCTGTTGGTGATGGTGGTGGTGGTGGTGGTGCTGCCCCCGAGCCCGCCGTCGCCTCTTTCTCCTTCATGCCCGCGGTTCCTTCTTCGCAGCTCCCGGGCGAGGCGGGAGAAGCGGAAGGGAGCCGGCGGCGCCAAGCATGTGCCCGTCAGAGTCCCGAGCTTTGGGCTCCTCGAGGCGATCGCCGCCACATTCCCACACTGGCGAGGCGGGCGAAGAGCGTGTTGCTGACGCGCGCTGCTCCGGCAAGCAGGCAGGCAGGCGGGCAGGCGGGCGAGGAAGTGCAGGCGAGCCGCGAGAGGGAGCGAAAGGAGGCGGGAGCGGCAGCGGCTGAGGCGGCAGGGAAGAAGCCGCCTTCAGCTAAAGGTTGGTTCCCGCCCCCTGAAGCTCTTCCCCGCGTGGGCAAAGACAGATCCACTTTTTTTTCTTCCCCTGCCGTGGTGGTAGGGCTGCCAAAAATAAACCAAGTGGCGATTGTTAGGGCTCAACGATCTGTGGTTGGAGACCAGTGGTTCAGGTCGATCCCAGGAAGCAAATAATACCAAATCAAGAAGATTCAGACGTTCGTGGATCTCTGACTTTTTATCCAGAGGTGCATTGATGATGGATACATTAAGATACGATAACCTTTATTGTCGTTGAGCGCACTGGCTCCCGTTAAAAATGAAATTCTGTTGCTTGCTTTCAAAAGAATGTATATCAGGGGTGAAATGCAGCAGGTTCTAACAGGTTCTGAAGAACCGGTACCAGAAATTTTGAGTACTTAGGAGAACCGGCAAATACCATCTCTGGCTGGCACCAGAGTGAGGTGGAAATGGAGATTTTGCAATAGCCCCAGGAGGAGAGGGAATGGAGATTTTGCAGTATTCTTCCCCTGGAGTGGGGTGGGAATGGAGATTTTGCAATATCCTTCCCCTGCCACGCCCACCAAGCCACGCCCACAGAACCGGTAGGGAAAAATTTTGGATTTAACCCCTGATGTATATATCTACCCATACCCATACATAACACATATATGCATGCTATACACACACACACACATAAATGTTAATAATCATTGTCCCTTTGGAATACATAACGGAAAGAGGAAACTTGAGAGTTCACAAGGTTGACGCTATATGGAACAAAAACTGACTGAAACTGTCTCAGTTATCTTAACTAAAGACATTCTGATGCCTTTGAGAAAGGAACCTTGCTTGGGTCTGGCTTGCTGTGAAAACTTAAAGAGGCCTTTTGCACTTGCCTTGATTACAGTATAAATTAGCAACTGTACAGCAACAATTGGTCGGAGAGCAAACAGAGTTCCTCAGAAATGATTTCCGTATTACGCTTGTGTTCGTATTCAAATTCGCAATGCAAAGTTTCATCAGTTCATTGACTGATAGGAATGTTTTAATTAATGAATTAATTGCTTAAAATATTTTGGTTGATGAATTAGATGCTGCTCTTCATTAATCTGGACTACAGATTCTAAATGTCTGTTGTCTATGGAGATTCTCAGTCATCCAGGACATGATTGTTCCAAAGGAGCTTAAGAAGCTTTTTGGATGAGAAGTGAAATGTCTTCAAAGAAAAACCAGAAAGTCCAGTGGCCTCTTGAAAAAGCACTTTTAGGATAAATGTCTGTTGAAAATCTAAAACACTGAAGAGAGAAAAAAATATTTGGAAGAGGTATTTTCTTCCTATGGAAAAAAAAAAGGGAATAATACATGCTATGATGCAAAGTATCTAAACTTATATAAATTCCATCTCTGGAATCCCCACATAAATATGTACACATACTATACACACACAGAAAGACCTTTTTCCTGCCCTCTGTGAATCAGATGATAATCCAAAGAAACAGAATCCTTTCCTACAGGCATACAAAGAAAAGCAGTATTCTGAAGCATAGCATCCTTTTTAACTGAATGCTGAAAGTTAGACATGGGGACGTTCTTTAAAAGTCGGTATCAGTGTATATCCTTCTATATATGTTAGCACCCAGTAGTGCTAACTACCCTGATTTATGCCAGTGAGACTTGGATTGTATACAGGAGGCATGCTAGGCCATTGAACCACTTCCACATGACCTGCCTCCGTAGAATTCTAAAGATCCGGTGTCAGGACAAGGTGTCAGACACAAAAGTCCTCTCCAGAGCAAGCCTGCCATCAGTTCACACCCTGCTAATGAAAGCCCAGACATGCTGGGCAGGCCATGCTGCAAGGATGCCAGACCATCACATCCCCAAACAGCTCCTCTTATGGTGAGCTATCTCAAGGAAAGTGATTGCACAGAGGAGAAAGGAAGCGATACAAAGACACATTGAAAGCTTCCTTCAAGTCCCTGGATAGCAACACCACCTCCAGGGAAATCCTGGCACAAGATCGATCGACATGGAGTATCCACCAAGGCTGCCAGACATCTGAGGACAGAAGAACAACTATAGCACAAGAGAAGTGAGCACTCCGCAAAGCCGGAGCTGCAAATGCTGCAAAAATGGTGCTCACACATGTCTGCCCAATATGTGACAGAACATTTCGTGCCAGTATAGGCCTTACCAGCCACCTGCGGGCACATCGTAGACAGCCCACAACCTGTTAGATGTCAAGGTCCTCTTCAAACACGATGGATGAACATTATCTATATGTGTTAGCCAGGTATAGCACATAGGCATGCTTGCTTCATTTTAAAAGGGTCAGCCTGATTAATACGTGGGTAGGGAGCTACCTTGGTGGGATTTTTTTGTTGGGTTTTCTTTGCGGGATGAATATCTTCAAATCAGATTTGGACTCCTGGTCACTGCCTAGACTAATCTCTGCACTCGGCAATGTTTTTCAGAAGTGGTTTGCTATTGCCTGCTTCCTAGGACTGAGAGAGAGTATTACTCATTATTAGTTGGGTTACTAGGGCTGAGAGAGAATATCACTCAGTATTACTTGGCCATAAGCCAAAATCTATCAGCTGGCTTTGTGTTTAAGATTGCACTAGAACTCATATTCTCCTAGTTTCTAGCCTGATGCCTCAAATCTTACACCCAACTGGGTCTCTGGGAATTTGAAAAGATATCTTTAAAAAAGGCTGTGGCAAGACATGTTCTTATAGTGCCAAGAAATTGCATGGATGAAGCCATGAAAATGTCCCAATTTCTTTCCTTTCCTTCCTTCTTTCCTTCCTTCCTTCCTTCTCCATTTCCCTCCCCTCCCCTCTCCTTCCTTTCCCCTCCTGTCCCCTCCCCCCTTTCCCTTTCCCTTACCTCCCTTCCCCTTTCCCTCCCTTCTCTTCCCTTCCCCCTCCCCTCTCTTCTCTTCTCCTTTCCTTTCTTTCCCTTTCCCTTTCCCTTTCCCTTCCCTTCCCTTCACTCCCCTCTCCTTTCACTTCCCTTCCCCTTCCCCCTCACCTTCCCTGCGCTCCCTTTCCCACTCTCCTTTCCATATTGTTGCCAGGAAAATTGGATGGACAAATTCATGAAACAATCAGAAATCGAGCTCAACTTGGGAGGGATTTTATAAATGCATAGATTTTAATATAGCAGCCAAACATTTCTAGAAGGACAGTAGTGGTGAGCACTCTGATCTGGAACCTTTTTGTCAAAGCTCTGTGATACACATGAAACTATGAGAGCAAATATTCTACCCTTGCGTAAGGACCCTTGTTAGAATCCAATTTTGTGTGTCCGAAACGAGACTGTATACACAAAATAAATCCAGATTTTTATCCACCAGGTACTTTGTCTCTTGTCCACTGTTCATGTTTGCTTAATTCCTGAAGCCATTGCTTTCGGTTTGAATCCTTCCTAGCAGCAGCAGCTGCAGTCATACTTTCAATTACCCCTGTGTTGAATGCTTTAAAAAGTGACATGAAATATTTCATTTCAGAAGCTTAACCCTTCCAAAATGGCTAAAGATTTATTATACTAACTACAATTTTCATAAATATGTATGGGATTAGGAATATTTAACCCCCCCTAACCACTACCTTGTGACATTTTGATTTCTGAACAGCTTCTGATGCTATTCCCAGATCTAGTAGCCCTTGAACTGCTTATTCTGACTGTCAGCAGGCCTCTAAGATACTTTGTGGCTCCATTCCTGTCCCCTGCAAATTTTGTTCCTTGAGATTTTTTTTTAATTGGAAAGGGCAAGCACCGAATGTACAACTTCTGCATGCAAGACACATTCTCTGCCACTGAGCTCTCGGCCTCTCCTGTAAGCAAATGAAAGCTACTGTTTATCTGCTACATTATTAGCATGCAGTACCAGGGAAGCTAGTAGATAAGTGAAAGACCTGAGGATTAATAAGCCTCTGGTTTAAACCTTTCTCTTCTGTGAAAGGATGAGATAGACTTTAGCATTTTTGTTTCAACCACAATTGCCCTCATCATTACCTAGAATGTCTAAATCATCAACATCAACAACAACAACAACATTATGATCCTGATAATATAATTGGGAGATTTTTTGACGATTGCTGAAATTGTCCATGTAATGGATTTCCACTGGAATTTAAAAGGGTATAGTGGTTATATATATTATATATGTCAGGGGTGGGTTCTACTTAGCTTTACTACCAGTTTACAGCAGGGCCGCCCGCACGCTCTTCTGCACAAGGGTTTTGATGACGTCGGGGTCGGTGGGTGGAGCCTCCCGCTTGTTTTACTACCGGTTCTATAGAACCAGTGCGAACCGGGGGCAACCCACCACTGATATATGTGCTTTGTACACTGAAAATCCATGATTGTTCAAGTGAAGTTTAAAAAGGACCAAGTCTCAGTAATAGCAATAGCACTTAGACTTATATACAGCTTCACAGTGCTTTACACCCGTCTCTAAGCGGTTTACAGAGTCAGCATATTGTCCCCAACAATCTGGGTCCTCCTTTTACCCACCTCGGAAGGATGGAAGCCTGAGTCAACCTTGAGCCTGGTGAGATTCGATCTGCCAAACTGCTGGCAGCTGGTGATCAGCAGAAGTAGCCTGCAGTACTGCACTCTAAACACTGTGCCACCGCAGCTCTCAAAGAGTTTCTTCTAGTTAAGTTGTTTTGAATCCTTTTCTTTTTACTAGTTTGCACCACATTTAGTTTTTGAAAAATGATTTCAAAGAAGAGAAGTTTGGTGGACTGGGATGTTCATGTATGTATGTCTATATGTACATATGTCTGTATGTATGTCTGTATGTACATATGTATATATGTGGCGGTCAAGGAGTGTCTGTATGTGAAAGCCATGTTTTTCTTGCACCAGCCTGTCTAGCTTTCCATGATTTGCATATCTCCCAAATGGCATCCTCCCATTGACCATT